TGAGTATCTTCGATATTGCTGGCCACCTAGGAGACATTTCAGATGGGTCTGATTTTCACAGGAAGATGTTCAACGATTTCTAAAGATGCTTCATCACTAATAGAGGCAGCAGAATTGCTATCTATATCACTCATATGCCCATATTTTGTCAGATCTGGCACCTGGCATTCTTTATCTTTTTCCATGGCTCCCCAACCTCTTCACTACCCACACTTAGCTAATGAGCTATATCAGTCTGATGAGCTACAGGTCCTGTAAGTGCTGCCTAATTTCCTTCTTCCTGTCACTGAATATAGACTTCACTGTGATCATTTCTTATCAATTAGATCTGTTTTATCTGAAGTTACATAGTTGGCTTCAGCACGAGCAATAATTAAAGATGAGCTGCAGTCAGTGACCACTTCCTCCAGAGTCCTCTAAGACTTGCACTGCTTTACCAACAGATAGCACCGAAACCCAGATGCAAACAGTAAGACAGACTTCACAAAGAGTAAGAAGTGACACATATTCAGGACGGTGTTTTTACATTGGCTAGCATTCTAGGTCCTACCCAGCATAGCTAGCATATAAGATGCTTACATTTAGTGTTATTTCTGATATTTTATCTTTTCCCAGACTATGCCTCCATCTCAAGACCACAAGCTGGTTTCTTATATGAGTTTTGAATTCATCCCAGGCTACTTCCTGCCCTCAGGCACTTGATTCATTCCTTTGAGTAAGGGTGACTGGCACTCTAACCCAGTTGCCGGAATAGATGATCATGGCAACAACCATCTTGTAGATAACAGCATAGGTCTTGCAGGTTGAGGTCTTGCTCAGGAACTGAATGACCAGGGTTGTGACATGTTCCTTAGACTCAGCTCATGCTCAGTCTCCAGAGCAGAGGAAAGAGGACTGCATGGTGGGCATGGCCTCTGGTCACTAAGGTCATGGATAACATGGATTATCATCATCCCTTCCTTCTGTTCCAGACACACTTTTGAATGAAAGTGTCTGTGGTGTCTCTGCTCCAAAGTGGACTCACGGTTCATGTTCAGAACTCACAAACCAGTGAGAAAGTTAGAAAAGAAAGATACTTAATTTGTGAATCCTACATGGCCTAAGAGGACATAGATTAGTCAAAATGATACTGGGTGGAGGAATATAAATAACTTTAACATCAAAAGCACAGGTTTCCATAAACTCTCAAATGCTTATGTGAACAGTTAAACTTTTTGTGGGTCTCACTTTTGAATTTAGGCATCTATATTCCACCCAGTTTGTACCAAAAATTTTCCTACTTCCTTCCTTCCTTATAAAAGAATCTAGCCTACTCTCTGCAAATAAAAAAACAAACAAACAAGCTTGATTACAGCAAAACATGCTTCACAGAATATGTGCACTGAGGTATTTGCCTGACATTAATCAGATAACTTGATCAGCTATCTCATAGCTGATCACTTCAAAGGGATGACAATGAAATTAAGTTCGTATTCCGAACTGCCCTGCAGAGATGGTTCACTTCACCGACTATAACAGGAGCATACGATAAATGGCTAACTTATTTAAGTATTTCAAGCTGACTGGTATGAACGTGGCACACTAGAATCAATTCCCCCTAGGAATGAAACGGAATCTTGTTTTTAATTAAATCAATTGCAAAACTTTATGAGGTGAAAGTTTTGATAAATCAGAAGTTATGAGAGAGATGAAAAGACAGGAAAAGGCAATATTTTTATATCCATCAGTCAGACTATCATTCCTACAAAGATTCTCAGTCACTCTTAGGAAACCTGTAATTAGATACCATGTGGGCAGGTCCGCACCCACTGCTGTGGGATTGAATCCAACTGAAAAGAGCTGGCAACAACCAGCCCATGACAGGGAGCTCTCTGAACAGAGGTTACAAAGCAACAACAACTTCTACATTTAGAGTGGTAAGTGACTGAAAAATCAAAAGAATTCTTGGATAATTGTACTTGCTGCCTGCTGTTTGGGGTTGGAGAACTGTAGGGTTCCCTGCTTAATAAAAGGCAGGCTCGATGGTGTGGTCTGAGCCAAAGGGAACAAGAAGGACTCGGAGGGATCCTGAGGCTACAAGACTTGTGGCATCTCAATTCTGGAAAATTCTAGTAGGAGATAATAACTTCTGGGGAGCGATAATGCAATGCAGCTAGGAAAAGTGGGCGGATTCAGCAGGGTTAAAGCGGTTCAACGGAATATTTTTCAAAGGAAGATCAGAATGATGATAATTGTAGGTAGAATCTTTTTTTCTTTTAAGGAAAATGCATGAGGGCTCTGGTAAAAGTTGAAGTCAAGAAGGAGGAAAAATTAAATGGGCTATAAAATAAAATGAGAGGCACTGCAAATTTTAAAGACAGAATGGAAGCTGGGAAGAACTACAGTTCCCTTCTATGGTATAATGTGGCAAATAAAAGCTGTTTTAGTTCACTGCCACAAAGAGAGAAAAAAAAAATGGACTAGTCGTCCAGAGAGGATATTCTGCACTTCAGAAATGGAGAAAGGCAAATAGCGTTGGGCTGAGGTTTGATTAAATTTAGCAATAGCCTAATCACTAAGAGGAATGGTGAAGGCCCTCTGGAAAGACAGATAAACAGCCTCATGATAGCTGCCCATCAGCTGAAGGTTCCTTAGGTAGGACTGAACAGGCACAGCAACCTCCCAAAACTGTATCTTGCTTTTTCTGATGTTGGTACTTACATTACATAATTGTAATTGTCTCTGTAAATTTTAAGTCTGATAACAGAGTGAGGATTAGTCAGGATATTGCAAAATGCCCTGAATTGGGAAGCCAAGGACCCCTACAAACATCTTGGAAACCCAGTTTTATTTCAGTCTCTAATGATGAGCAAGTACGCGTACAACTCATTCTTATTTTTTTATTGAGCTACTTTTATGGAGCTTTCCATATAAAACTCAAGTGATTTCTTGCTACTAATTATCAAGATTTCCCCTTTGCCTCCTTTTGTATGGCCTGAGGATGTTTTACCTCTGTCTTATCTATCTCTCTTTTTTCTTAATCACAGAGTTAACAAATCTCTACTTAAAAAAAAAAAGTGCATCAGCCATCCTGTATCCTGTTACTGCTCAGCACGGAAGCACACAGGGTGATAAGAGAATGGTGAGTAAAATACTTAGAATTTAGGTAAATTAAATGTTTTGTTTCAAATAATCTCACTGCAGTTGTAAAAAAATGCTGGTAATTAAAAATCCTATCCCTTAGTCTTGCTTCTCTTGAATATTCTGTATGTGCATGTTTGTGCATATGTCCTGAGAAGGTGATTAGGGTACATGAGAGGCTTAAATTATATTGTTGACGAGCATTGGGCAGACTTTGTCCTATCTCACAAACCGTCTCCGAGTGGCCCATGAATCACAAGTTGAGCAATGCTGCCCAAAAGGGACCTCAGTGGCCTCTTGTGAAGGACAACTCATACTCCAGTGCATGTTTCATAAGTCAGGATAACAGTCTATGAACGTGCACAATCTTTTTTTGTTGCTGTTGTTGGAAATAGGTAGTGTGGGCTCGGAAGCTCAGGAAACTATTACCAGCAGTAAGAACTCAGCAAGACTGAGTTTAAATTCACAAACAAGTCATTCCAGTTCCTCTTGTTGAGTACTAAGCATCTTAAAAGAAGAGAAAGAATTTTCCCCATAAAATTGCATACTGCCTCAACTCCTTTCATGAAAGTATCATTTCTTGACCTCTTTGCACTGTCCTTTTTGTCTTTGGATTACCAGGCTTATACAGAAAGCCTAGCCCTTAGAAAACTGGCTTCTATCCAAACCATACACCTTTCTTAACAAAAAGATGGATCAATAACAGCCCTTAACAGCCAACAAGAACAGTCTTTTGCATCTTCCATCACTTATCTAGCTACCCTCTGTCTTCTAATGAAAAATATGTGAAAAGAAGTCCCTGAGCACTCTTGTTCAGCAGCAACTTCCCACATTTTCTAATACCATTTCTGGTTTGTAATACGTTCTGAGAAGAGGTACTGTATAGACTATAGACCATAAACTGTATTTTCATCCCTTTTTATGACAAATCTACTACTTTAGAGCTGTCCCTAAGGGTTTGGAGTCTGAAAAAGGGAACACTGTCCCTCATGCTATACTGTTCTCAGCACAGACTGGCCATTATGAATATGAGACCTCTTGAGAAATCTCGAGTATTTTATAGGCTGAACTGACCAGCCATCCATAAACATATCTCACTGAGCTCTCCAGTTCACCTGACAATCCATGTCTTCTGAGATTTTTGTGCACAATCATCAGGTTCTTAGAATGATGCCTGAAGTACCTACCAGAATGGCCTCCTTCATTTTTCTAATGATTAGGACCTCTCCCTTCTTGTCTGTCGCCAGCTGTTTGGAATGACTCCTGATCCTTTTCTCTCCTACCAACTGCCAACTTTCCTCTCTGCTTTCCACTCTTCCCAAGAAGATTTTCTCTCTCTTACCACATTGTATTCTCTTGATGTCACCAGTGGCCATACTAGTATTGGCCACAGAACTGTACCTCAAAAGAAATCTGATGCTTCCTCTCAGTTTTGTTCTTTGCAACTTTTATTCACAGCTTCTTAGATATTTGGGCTTGCTCCTCTGCCCTATCCCACTTCCAATGAACTATTAACCACATAAGGGACTTCAGCTACCAGGACTTAATGACAGTGTTCGGATCCATGATGTCCGCACTCTGACCATTTGGCTTGGGTAGGAAATCAAGGAAATCCAGCTTCCACAGAGATGCCAGCAACTGTCTCTGCCCCAGGGATGCATTTTCTGGCTCATGTTCAGCTTGGTGTGCACCAGGATTGCCATGTGTCTTTTTGCAAAGCCATTTTCTACCTGCTCAGCCCCCCAGCCTATACTGGTACATGGGGATAGTCTCTACCAGGTTCAGGACTTTGCATTTTCCCTTATATTATACTCTTTTAAAAAGGATAAATCACTCTAAAATGCTTAACCTGTATATTCCATTTGCTTTAGGTGATTCGAATGTGTATTGTTGCATTTTGTCTCCTTGGCCCAGTAACAGGTGAGATGATACACTATCTATAAAAACTATCACTAGAAGTTGAATAAAGACAAAATAAATAACATATATATGAAAAAATGACCAGTATCCTTTATGTTGAAATTGTGGTATGATTTGCGTATTGTGTATGATAATGTCCATTATTGTGTGTAGAAGTAAGGCTAAAGGTTTTACTCCACTTAAATTTCTTTATTAAGAATTCAAGAGATATAAGATTGTGTTGAAAATTCGTGTAGGAGAATTTTACAGTTCTGTAAAGACTGTTATTTATAAGGAGCAGTTCAGTGAACAGAATGGTTAGTGTGACCAACAGTGCTAGAAATTAAAAGTTGGGCATAAGTGGGTAAAAGAGACTTTGACCTCAAAAAGACTGGAATCTTAAAATAAATGACAATATCATTCACAACAGAAGGTGATTGCATAAATACCCTTCATTCCTCGAAACACACGGCCTTGGGGCGGGAAGCATGCAGAAGCAAGTCTAATGAACATTTCTTAAAGGGGATTCTAAGATACAGATATATTTACAAGCCTAGAAAATGTTGTCAAAAGAATGTCCTGGAATTTTCTTGGTTCAGCTCAAATCATTTACCTTTCATTTTGTTACCTACTTCAGGCAATATCCATAAACAATCAATCAAACAAACAAAAAACCTGAATCTAGGTCATAACTAATCATAAAATTATAGTCTTAGTTTTTTGCCCCTCTGGTTCTTGCAGTCTCAAACTTCTCATCCAGCTGTAAGAGGTTCCAAAATACTAACGAGTCATTTTGTGTACTCTAGGTAAAGAAATTTGCTACGACAGGCTTGGCTGTTTTACAGACGACCCACCCTGGGCTGGGATACCAGGGAGACTCCTGACAGGTCTGCCTGACTCTCCAGAACACATGAACATCAGCTTTTCTCTCTACACAAGAGAAACGGGAAATAACTCACAGGTGACACTTCTTACTTCAACATCAAGAACAAACTAAGCTACGTATGTTTGTAAACTTGTTGAAAAGTCTGGGTCACTCATCATGGGCAATAAGAGGGTAGTGATCGAATTTTGGTGTTATATGGGGTGAAACATGAAAAAAAAAATGTGCAAGACACAACAGCTTTCCTAGCAGTTTTCTATACAAGCATGTGGGTTATGGAGCACTAACTTTTGCATGCATTTTGCTCTCAGAAAAGTCAAGGACTTGCTTGCTCAAATAAGCAACCTTATGGGTATTTAGATAGCGGAGCAAATGTTGATACCTTAGCCATGTAGAAATTGAGTCAATATTGTTACTTTCAAAAAATAAAAGTAAGTCTGAAGCAGAACAACTCTAGCACAGTTTTAAAACCTCCAGTTTTTCCTCAAAATCTGTGTGATTATACACGCTTACCTGCCCTTCTGCTTTCTGCAAATAAGAAGGAATCACTCTGGCTGCTTATTCTTTGTAATACGGAGTGGAGCAACCTGTAAGGCTCCAGGGCTGGGACCGCATCACTTTAGGAAAAGCACATGAAGCTGCAAGTTCCTGGAGCTTGTGTCATCTGTGCTGTGCAGGGACATTTGGGATTCCACTGGTGTGGCCTGGGATGACATCACTGTCACTGCAGACATCACAGCTTGCAACAATCCTGGTTGCCATGCGGAGAATCAAGCTCAGGTTCTCTAGGGGCGAAAAGTTATACTCGTAATAAATGCTTCTATCTGCAGAGCAGGGAGAATGATATTCACTTTGCACTCATCACTGGGATTATCCAGGCTTTTCTGTTGTTCACAAAATAAGACAGGACAAAATATACCTTGCACTATTCCCTGCCATTAAACCTAACTATGATCTGAGGGCACAGCCCTTCCACACCCAGGCTCCCTGAGCTTGCGTCCCAACCCCTGTATTTATCTGGAAATAATACAGATGGTCAGAGATCATTCTCAGAGTAAAAGGAAGGAAGATGATTAAACAATTTGCAAGAATGTATGGTGAACCAAGATCAGTTTAACCATTGTTGCCTATAGTATCAAATTCTTTGAGCCATTCTGGAGTAGCTAATAACAAGAACATCTGTAGAAATGCCTCTAGTACAGACGAAAGCCATTTCTTAGGTGCAAAGCAGCACATGGAAGCCAGAGATCAGGTGGACTAAAAGGCAAAAGCAAAGAGGTGTGGGGCTGGTGAACTGGTCTCTGGAGGACCTCATCCAGCTCAGGTCACTATTTGGTGACACTTTGGCTCCTTTAGGCTGCTTTATATGCTGTATAAAGGGATTCTTTCTTCATTAAGAGGAATAGGTAAGGGCAGCAGGAACACCTGCCCTCATACAGGGAGGCACAACTTCTTTGGCAGCTGTGTTGGAACTGAGAAGGGTGAGATGCTGAGGTGACTGGCTTCCAAAAATTAAAGACTTTGACCATTCAAAGGAGTTCTGTAAGTCCCACTGAGGGGTCAGTGTTGATGATGTGATATTTTGCTACCTTCTTTAAAAGGGAAGGATAGATAAAAGATCTAACTTTCATTTTGCTTTCCTCACACAGGTGATCTCAGCAATAAACTCCTCAACCATCCAAAACTCACATTTTTCCTCACGCAGGAAAACTTCTTTCATCATTCATGGATTTGGCAGCACTGGAAAAAAAGGCTGGGTTGTAGAAATGTGCTTGGTATGAGAGAGTATCCTCTGGTTTCCATCAGCAGCTGTAGCTGCATTCAGACATTATTACTTGGACACTGATGTTCACCTTCCATTTTGCCATTCACTAGGAAGTATTGACAGAAGACAAACAAAAGCTCTTGTAATTTCTCCTTCTTCCACACTGACAGGGAAGGGGACTGACTAGAGAAAGATCACCACAGGACACAAATTCACAGAGCAGTAGAACTATTTTTTTTCAAAAAGCTATGAGTACTTGTAATCTAAAATCTTAAATTTCAAAATTTTCCAGCTGAAAGGAAAGAGCAATTCTCATTGCTTCTCCAAGCTACAAACTATGCTTGTGGTGTGCATAAAGGAGAGGGAAGGCAGTCCAGAATTCAATGCATGATCATTTTAGGCTTCTGTTTTCCTTGTTATTTACACTCAGCTGTTTAGTCTGTGTTAGTTTTTGTTTCCGATCCTTGTTCATTCCCAAACCTTAAGTCTTAGTAACAGAAAGCTGCAAGAGATCAGTGACCCTCTGTAAGACTGTGACAATACAGGAGTAACATTTACACTAGCTTTCCTTGCTAAAATAAAAACTTCCTACTTGGCTCAGAGCCTTTCTATTTTAATATGACTTTCTCAGTTTCTAATACACTTGAAAAATAAGTCTATTTCATATTGTATTTATTCTGTTAAATATCGATGACCAAGAAAGTCACACATTGTACACAGCAGCTACTGTGCACTTGTGTTGTCTTTCCAATTTATTTCAAATATGTATACAAATAGGTTAAAAACTAAAACAGTTTGATCATTTTCTTTAAAAATTGAGACTGTTTTGTGAGGAGAATCTTATTTCAATACAGTGCAGGCTGCAGTGCAGCGTTCTGTTTGTAAAGAATGAGAAAACCCACGAGGAAATTACAATGTAATTGTCTATTAGGATTTAAGGTGCATTTCTATTGACTATTTTATGTTTTTTTTTAAATACTTTGTTTTATGTGTTTCCACATTAGCTGCTGCTGGAAGTGGAAAACAGGAACTGCATTGCTGTTGACTGGAAAGACGGCGCAAAAGGCACCTACGCCAGCGCAGTGAATAACCTCCGTGTGGTTGGGGCTGAGATTGCTTATTTCATAAAAACCCTACAGGTGAGAGAAACAGCTTTACCACCTGCAATTCACAGTGCACATCGTTGGGTTGTGATACTGCTACTTTGATATTTACCCTTGTCCAGTACAGTTGGCCAGTGCTTCGGGAAATGTTGTGCAAAGGATGTAGTTTAGACCCGTCTAATAACTTTTAATGCCATGAGGATTTTATACAGCCACAGAAGACACAAATGAAGCTAAAGGAGTCGAAAAGATGTGCCAGTAACTAAAGATGAGTAGATGACAACATTTCTATATGACGATACATGCAAGAAGGCATGTAGCAGAGGTGAGGCATGTCTCACAGATTGCTTGTTAGGATTGCTCATCAATCTTGGTCTTGCTTAGGCTTTCTAGAAAAGTAAAGCTGCACTGTAAGTGGAAGAACTGCAGGACAAAGTCTCTTCAGGAAAACTGTCATCTACCAAAAAAAGCAGATAGGCAGATACTGCAAAGCTTTTTTTATTATTATTATTATTTTTGGCATGTGCATTATTATTCAAAACTTAGTGAAAATCTCTTGCATTAGCGATTACTCCTTGTTGTCTAAGATTGTTGCAAACCCTGGCAAGTCCCCGAGTGAAATGTATCCTCTGCAGCCTACACACTGAATATTTTCCATTTCCATTTTCAAAGCTTGTGTAATATGTAAAAGGACCGGTTTGCACAGGAGATGTTCAGCAAAAAGAAGAATGGACGGCACTGCAACTCTGCTTCCCAGGGAAAATTTTGTGGGCTGATACAATTACAGTCTCTAAGTGCACACATGGAGAACGGATGAGCAGTAACAGGGGGCTCCATAATAGAGCTGATGAAGATAAAACAAGTTCATATTTATGGAAACTGAAATTAGGGGCTAATCCAAATGTAAAAAAAGTTCATACTTTGACACCATAGGTAATTAAAGACAGTAACCATATGCCAAGACTGTGTTGGTGAATCCCTCATATGACTGGGCATTTAAAATTCAAGATTGGATCTTCTTCTACCAAATTTTAGTGTAATTTAGACAATAAACAGTTCAGGGAATTCATGCAGTGTTGGGTATACAGGAAGACAGACTAGTTGTTCCTAACAACCCTCAATGTAAGACTCCATCCTTGCTTGATATTTAAAGGACTGTTCTTGTCTCTCGCTTCCCTCCTTCTTCTCCCCACTCCTTATAATCAGGAAATCTTCAAGTATTCCCCTTCTGAAATCCATCTAATTGGCCACAGTCTTGGTGCACATACTGCAGGAGAAGCGGGAAGGAGAACCCAAGGCATTGGACGAATAACAGGTAGGTTATATTGGTATATATAGGATACCACATTCCCAAAGGAAAGATGACACAACAAGGTACAGATCCACTTCTGTTATTTTTCCTGTTTCTTCTCCCGATGCATTACCACTAACTACTTTACTATACGAAATGATTTGTTATTGGTATTAATGATAGAAAGTCATGCAGTTGTAGACCACTAGGCTAAGAGACTAGAATTAAATTATAGTCTCTCCTGTAGACACCTTGCATAAGAATAGGCAAACTCGGTGCTTCTCAAAAGCAGCAGTGACTGTTGTATCTTCCATTCTTTAATGACTAAAAGACTTAGCATCCTCTAAAGGACTCTGTTAATATGCCTGTCACATTACTGTCATTTGTTGGACTGCATTAAGCATTACACCAAGGTAAAGCTAAGGAAAAACAGTAAGGAATATGTTTTACTTCTGTTGCAATGAGTTTGCAGAAATGTTCACAAGCCGTATTACAGCACACAGTCCAGCTTAGAATTCACATTATTACTCAGCGTGTCTGAAGCGTTATTTATTCCTGATATTATAAGTTGGAAAAAGACATGTATTTGTGTGTTTTTTGCATCCCTCCCTCAGTCAATAATATTTTTCTTTAGGTTTGGACCCTGCTGGGCCTTATTTTGAAGGTACTCCTCCCGAGGTGAGACTGGACCCCACAGACGCGAACTTTGTCGATATTATTCACAGTAATGCTGCCGAATTTCCTGCCATGGGTAAGTGCTCATGGGCAAGCAAATATCCACAGAGATGGGCACGTCAAGGGGTATCCCAAAACACTAACATCAGCACCCGTGTATCTCAGGGTATGGAATGTATAACACCACGGGACACCTTGACTTCTACCCGAACGGAGGAAATGCAATGCATGGATGCAATGATTTCATTGCACGGATGCAACAAGAAGAGTTTGAGCTTCTCATCGCAGGTAAATTCAAAATATTTTCTTTCAGTTCTGAAGCACGAATTGTGAAGGCCAATAACAGACCAATAAATCTATCTTGATAGCTTGGGCAAACTGGTACGATGTTCTTATGAGAAGTCAAAACACTGACTTCTACTGCAAATAGAAATGTGTAAATTCACACAAAAGATAGATTGCAAGACCCTGCTACTGTTTAACTCTGTGGCTTAGCTATTTTCAAAGAGGGGCAACTCCTATACCAGATAGCTGAAGATTATTACACAAATGGTCATAAAATTTGTTCCAACAGATGCTACCTTCAACAGGGGGTGCCATCACTCACGTAGCCATGAGTTTTATTTTGAAAGCATCCTCTATCCCACCGGCTTCATTGGATATCCCTGTGAGACATACAAGTCCTTTGAGTCGGTAAGTAGATTGACTCAGGAATGTGCAAAAGCTATAATGAAAATAATCAAGGCCTCTGCGTGCATGAAAGCCGACGCTATGTACACACAGCACTGGGATGCTCCAGGAGCTCTGCAGCGAGCAGCAGAACTGGGGTGAGAAATCAACTCACCAAGGAACCAGTGCTGGCCCACAGCAAGACACGGGACACAGCTGCACCATCAGCTATTCCCTGTGCTCTGGAGAAGGAATCTTGAAGCAGGGATGATACCACCAGAACAGGAAAAAGAAATAAACCCCCTGCAATCCTCACCATAACCCTCTATGCAAAGACCACATACTTTAGCTATATCTGCCCTACTAACTGCTGGCTGTAAGAAGAGGTATCTGAAGCTTCCAAAAGCCCTAAACATTCTCTAATTTACAGTTAACACCTAAGAAATGTTTTAATTTGCCTACAAGTAAATGTATCTATAAATGACGTTTAAAATACACATGCTCCTTCTTTTTCCCCCTATTTTTCCCCTATTTTAAATGGGGAGTTTCAGATCATCATCCCCACAGGCATCAAACCTGCTCATTCTACACCCACTTGAGCAAGATATAACAATATAAAGTACTGCTACAGGTTTGCAAGCTTGGAACAGCATCTTGAGCCTTAATTTTGTTAGAGTTGGGATGACAAAACTACCCCTCATTAACTGATATTCTTATTTTTCCAAGGGAGGCTGTTTCCCATGTCCCCAGGAAGGATGTCCAATGATGGGACACTACGCTGACAGATTTCCAGCTAAACTGAAGAGAATTAACCAAAAGTATTTTTTAAATACAGCAGCCGACCCACCTTTTACTAGTAAGTGCAGAAAGTCTGTAACAACTGGGCATGTGTTTGAAAAATTATTGCTTTGACATGATTTATAGTTACACATTTTTGTTGCTACCATAAACATCAGCTAAGACCTCCAAGAAAAAGTGCTGAATTAATCATGAGAATTCAACCTACCCGAGGTTTTCATTTGCTAACGTGAACAAATCCCATTCAGAAAAAGAGATAACTTTCCCAATTATTGGTATTTTTAGATCTCATGTATCAATGACAATCTAGTTTCTCTTTCTTTTTCTTATGTAGGCTGGAGACAAAGAGCATTTATCAAACTGTCTGGTGTAAAGAAAACAAGGGGGGACATAAACCTAGTTTTCCATGACAAAGAGGGAAACACAAAAGAATATCAAATTACCAGGTAAATTATTATTTCACTGTAGCATTTAATGTTGCTGTCCTTAATCTACACATCTTTTACATATTTAAGCAATGCAAACATGTATTCTTGGTTGTAGTCATTCTAGCTGACATCAGGTATGGACAGAAGTTGTCACACACATAAGATCCATGAGGGCTGATGGATGCCTGCAGCATGGGAATAGAAATCACCTCCTTTACATGTGTCCTGGGACTCCAGCAATAAATTAAGACAGTTTGACAGAAGAGGCACTCTTTCTTTGAGCTGCTCTTGAGAAAAGATTTACACCTCCAGGATGCACATACAGTAATTCCTCTCTCACATACCAGTAATTCCTCTCCACACAGAGATAATATAGACAGAAACAAGTATTTCCATGTACCTTCCATGATCCTCTTCATGCACACACAGAGAAAAATCCCACAGAATTTCACAACTCTCCTCTACAGCCTTCTTAGAAAAATGTACCTGATCTTGTGATAAAAACTCAACACTCGAGCTGCTGAGGAGCTCAGGACGCCAATGACAGACCTGTTACCCTTATTTTCTTAATGCTCTCCTACCTCATATAAACCAAAAGTTTTCTGTGTTTCTTTTTATCCTGTCCAGGTCAGAGTGTAGCACAACAGAGTCCTGGTTCAGTGCCCTGTGCTCTTGTAAATAAGAGCAAAGTGCAAATTTTTGTCATAGCAGAGTGAGCAAACTGAGTGTTCTGGAGAACACTGCTTAGCTTTGTAACCTCCACGTTATTTCTGTTAGCGTCTGATGTCTTCATTCTATTTGCAGTGGAGTCCTTTCTCAAGATGAAATTTACACAAAATACCTTGATGTTGAAATTAACCCTAAACTTGTTAAAAAAGTTGAATTTCTCTGGATTAAAACTCCACTCACCCTGCTTTGGGCAAGACTGGGGGCAGATACAGTCAATATAACTCATGGAGAAGATGGACATAGGTAAGTATAAGCCTTTTACAGATAACAGTATCAGTATCAGAAGGAATATAGGGGAAAGTGCAGCAACTCTGGAAGACTGTAACCAGGAGGAGAGGCTTTCCAACTTGCACAATATACTCCAGGAAAGATGACTCCAGACAGACTGAAGTCCAGAAAACTAACAAGAGTGGAAGATTTGGAAGGATGATGTATGTGGAACAGCTGAAGGAATTGTTTTTCTCACTCAAATAAAGAGAAGTTTTGAGAAGCATAAAACCACTGGTGTGCAAGCTAGCTGTGGAGGGCCACTGTCAACTGTTCCACACACCCACCAAGTTTAGGTGAAGATGTGTTTTAAAATGGATGAGATACAGGTTACATATCAGAAAAAAAACCTTATAATTACATATTAGCATGGGTTATTTAGGAAAGTGTTTGAAACCCCCTTCACTGTGAACTCCTAAGGAAAGGTGCAGAGCATTGGTAGGGACAGTCTAGCTAAACAACTGGTCTCAGTAAAGGCAGCTTAAAAAGATGCTCTCCTGATGGGTGATTTAGAGCACAATTTCTGTGAACGTTCAGAAGAATTTCACTGATATCTCAAGAACCAAAATTTATTGTCCCCAAAAGAAAGAAATCCCTATTGCTACTGCTACTATACAAACTGCACTACAGTTTTAGGAAGGCTTAAGTATTTTTGTAGATCAAATTGACAACCTTCAAAGTAGCAGCTGACACTTTTCTTCTTTGTTTTTGTTTGAGAAAAAAAAAATATATATATATTGACTCAACCTGTTCTCCTTCCCAGATCAACATTTTGTGGCCATGGAACTGTGACATATGGAGTTCCCCAGTTACTTACACCTTGCTAGAAGTCATTAGATACAACTGTTCTCCACACTGCAGCTGGGTAAACAAACAGTCCTCTGTGCAGGAATGTTTGTACACGTGGCTATTAAAGGAAAATTCATTCTTAAATTGGCTGTAGTTTCCTTTTTTTCAGCTCTGTGCGAATGCATTTGGCTATGATTCTTACCTGTGAAGTAACTGTTTCAAGTTTACTAGCCTTCTTCTCTACCTTCTTCCAGTTGCAATCGGTATTTTTTTGTCATGGCTAACAAGAATAATGCACAAAAAGACACAATTTTCTAGCTCTTTTGTCTTTTTCCTCTCTCTCTCCCCAAAAAAAAAAAATGAACCTGAAAGATGGTAACACCAGAAGCTACTTAGCTATTTTAAGAACCTCACAACGGTCAAAATTATTTCCCTCTTCTGGAACTCACAATGCATCTTCACTTAAATTCCAGCCTTGTAAATGCTAGGAGCACATCACACGTCCCTCTCTACCCACACCACCCCTCCATACTCTAATGTATAAATATCTGAATGAAATTATTAACAAAAAGAACAACAGCTGGTATAGTATTCTTGGATACTCTATAGTAAGTGTTCCAAGAATACTATAAACCAAGGCTGTATAAAATTTAAAATGTTCTTAAACACCAGCCTGGAGCTCAGCCAAGACAGATCTGCAGCCGTGAGCGCTGCAAGTCCCTTGGAGACCTCACAGGTGGTGGCGGAAGGGCCCACAATGGCAGGAAGCACCACCCGCTGCTCCAGGAGAGACTTGGGCCTTCCTGGAGCACGTCAACCCCCTGCTCCCACCGGGCTATTTCAGGCCTCTTTCTTTTGAGGTTACTTAGGATAAAGCCCTAACCCAAATCTTTTTCATCTGCTCCTAAGATATATGGGAAAGGCTGTTCCATCCTCGTTTTGAACACACATTTAATAAAACTCATCACTGTATGAGTCTGCAGAGTCTCCTGTGCCATTGACACGGAATTATTTTCAAACTATTACATTACTTCAATTGAGAATGGGACAACTCAACTCAAAAGCGATGCTTTTAAAAAATGAAGGATCTGTACTGCTGCTTAAAAATATTATGCATGATAGCAGCGAGATACATATGTACACAGCTGATATCCATTTGGTCTTTCACACAGACAGAGATTAGGAAATATTAGCTCTATAGCCATAGCCAAAAAGCAGAGCTAGGTTGCCAAAGCCTTTCAGATGCTGAATTAACCAGGTCATTTTTCTTCTTGGGTCCACTTATACTCTCTCTTCTCCTAGGAATGACCTAGGGGGGCTCCTAGAGCTAGTCCATTTGGGCAGAACCAAGTTTCATCCTTCAGCTCATGTCTTTTACAGAATGGCCTCCTGCAGTCCTGCTGCAAAATTCACAATGCAAAGCCGCCAGTTTGCTTGTTGTGCTTTCTTGCTGTGTATTTTCTCAAAGCTTGGGTTATACAGGGAGTAAAGAAAGAGTTCAAAGGATCAGACAGCTATCCTATATTGTGTATTTTCTCAAAGCTTGGGTTATATGGGGAATAAAGAAAGAGCTCAAAGGATCAGACAGCTATCCTTCCATACCTCAGTATTTCAATGAGCAAATGAAAGGGACACCAGGAGATCGGCCTCTTTTACTATCAAGAGAGGCACCAGTTTCCCTAAAGGGCTAAGTCTTCTCTGAACTGAGCAGGTATCAGGAAATGGCCACCAAGGACCCAGAAGCACGGGAACGTTTCACATCCAAACTCACTTCACAGAGGGCAGGGAAGGGAATTGAAAGCCTGTGTGGTCCGTCACTAAATCCCTAGTTGTCCCCAATACCTAAACTGCACAACACTCTCAAAAGGAAAAGGCATCCCAACTAAAATGTCTCCTAAATGTACAGCCACCCAGACCCACATCAATGATAAGGTTGCATCTAGGGAAAGCTCTAACTCAGTTGCCCTACTTTTAGATCTGCAGTCCTACCCTGGCCTCCAAAACAAAAGCCCAAGAAATCTATATCTATGTATCTTGGATTTGTTACAGCAATCACCAACTTAAATATAAACTATAATCTGAAATAAACGAATTTTCATATCTTTCTGGGAATGATTCCAAGGATAAAGCATAATATAAAAGTACATGCAAAGTTTGGTAGTTAGCGCACGGAGCTTCAAGCCTGCACTGTAAGTAGTTGGGTCTACTATTTTTTTATTGCCTTGTCAGGTAGATGCCATCCTCACATTGAAATTTGTGTGCTCGTTTTAAAGTAGCTTGAATGCATCCCAGTAGCAGCGTAGCCCTGACTGGAGAGAGTCACTCTGGACTTGGACTACGAGCTTTTAGCTTGCTAATGTGACAGGGTAGCAAATCCTAGCTGTTTCTTCTTTGTTGTTGTAGATGCTTGGAATTTGGATACTAGCGCTGTTCCTGCTCGGCACAGCCACAGGTAAGAATGCAGGACTATTTTTAATGCAAACTTTCCACACTGCTGTGTTTCCTGAGATATTATTTTGTGCTGTGGTGTCTCTCCACTTGCTGAAGGGTCATGTTGTCTGCATTCAGGTGCAGGAGCAGAGAGATGAGTGTGCTTTGAGATGCGTGGGTCTGTCCTCTCTGCTCTCTACTCTGGAAACCCTGCCCCAGGGCCGTGCCATTACAAGCATAAGTGTTTTTCTGTCTGAAATCAAACTTACTGCACTTGTCTTCTCTGTCAGACCAAAGTGTAAGGAAACAATTCAATGTACTCTGCTTCAGCGCTGGAAATGCAGAAAATGCAATTGGGGAGAGCTCCATATTCTGCGGAAGCCACTGTTTTTTATTAAAATTCTCATGGGCAATGTAGTCATCTGCTCAGCACAGTCTCAGGTTACTGCTGATTATTTACAGTACCTTGGCTCAGCTGTCCTTGTTTTAGGCAAAGGATGCCCAAGGTATCTTGGAACATCCAAGGTAGGGCACAGGAATGCACTAAAGATTTTCTGAGTTTCAAGGGACCAAGCGGCTGCTGGAGAGATGACACTGTGTGTTATTCACTTCTTTGCTCGCTCCCATGTTAACAGTCATCTCATCCGTGTGCTGCAGGCAGTGAAGTCTGCTATGATCGGATAGGATGCTTCACCAATGATGTACCCTGGGCTGGGACTCTGGAAAGACCCATCTCCAAGTTACCGTGGAGTCCAGAGACGATAGACCCCCGTTTCCTCCTCTACACCAAGGCAAATCCTGATGACTACCAAGTAAGAACGGTTGCGGTTTAAACCTTCTCAGATCACATGCGGAAAGAGCACCTAGACACAGGCTCAAGCTAACAGAATCCCTGGAAAATGTTAGAAATTGCCCTCCCTGCAGTTTTATTCAAGACACAACCTTTTCCAGCTCCTTGGAAAAGCCTGTGGGTGGAATTTGCACTGACAGTTCTTCTGCTACAGCAAAGAAACTCCACCAGTGCTCACGAAGCAAGACCCACTTCTCTATAAAACCATGGAGAAGTACCAGGAAACTTCCATGAAGTTGTTGAGTAACTGTTTGTCCTCTGTATTTGAGGAAAACCTTTTAAAAGTAAAGTCTTGGCTGCCCCAAGATATGTGACAAAACTTGCCTTGGTTTGAATGGAGACACAAACCTTAAGTGAATATTTGCAAACAAGCTTAGGGGTACATAATATTTAAATGCCTATATAAAATGAACAAACTTCTAATCTTCAATAACACGTTTTCTATTTCCTTTACAATTTTAATATGCAATTTACAAAAAAAAAAAGATTTAAATGTTTAATAATTCAATATCCACAACAGGATATCTCTGCAACTGATCCAACAACAATTGAGCAATCAAATTTTGATGTGAACAAGATAACCAGATTTATTGTACATGGATTTATTGACACAGGAGAAGAAAACTGGCTGTCAGACATGTGCCGGGTACGTACCTTGGAAATTTCCTTGTGAGTTTCGTTAGTATGGATTTATAATATATTCCTATAAATTGACTACTTTATCTATTTCTAACCATTTTTTACTGTACAGATAAGAAGGATGAAATGACCTGTTGTTTTCAAAATGTCAGCAACTCAAATGTGCAGCTCTTGGGCAAAAGCTGCAGGCAAAATGCACCACATTCATAAGTGAAGTGAGTGAGATGGATTTGCTCAATCAGCATATATTTTTGTGATAGAAACAATATAAACCCTTAGGCAAGATGTTGCTTAGGAATGAGGGTGACTACAAAAATAACTGCAGAAATAACTATCTCCTTGTACTTCTGCAGTGAAGAGACAGGTTTCTAGGTGTGGGGTACGGACTGCCAGGGGGTATTGGAAGCTGAGGACATGGTCTGGCCATTAACAGGAGCAACAGAGTTTTCTAAGTCCATAGCCAGAAGAGATCTCAATGCTACTACTCAAACGAGAAGTTTGAGTAGTGCTATAAACAGTGGATGAAGCATTAAGTACTTCGATTTTTCACCAATTCTCCAATTTGATGAATTATTTCTTAATCCTGTCCCCATATCCTGCTGCAATTCCTACTGACTTGGTGTCTTCCCAAATCCTAAAAATATGCCTCTATTCCAATTGCTAATGAAAGCAAGGAACCTCAAGGATTGTAGAACAAAATAAAAGCTGACAGCTTATGATACCTTCTGGATAGGGTTTTATAGTTAACTATCTACACAACTAAAACTTTGTTTAAGATATATATCCTTCTTTTACTTATGAGATTGCTGTAAACAATGTGAATATCCATATAAATCAATCATTTTATACTTACTGCACCCTCTCTACCTGATTCTCTTTGTTACCTAGACAAAAGAAAAGAAATTTTATTTGTTTGAGAGTGTCTCTTCTAAAATCTCTCTTGATTATCACTTACATAGATTTAGGAATGTTTGTTGGATTTTTTACTGTAGAGTTTAAGTATCATGAGCAGATGGATATTTTAGAATTTTCAGTCTCTTATTTTCCAGTCTATCAAAACAGAGTTTTGTTTTGCCCTCTTCTATTTCTCTGGAACATCACAGTCAAAAAGATGGTTACAAAAAGCTCTCTTTTTGCTTCAGCTGGTCCCCTTTGATTGAATTTAAGTAGGTCCACTGGAAATAAATCTTTAATTGCTCTTCTTATTCTGGCCTTTTAATCAAAGAGTGGAGCAAAAAAGGTTGTGAGTACTTCAGCTTTCCTATGTGTATGTGTTCTTTGTTCTCCTCCTTATTAGGTAAATCCTACGTGCACCTTTATTTTTACCATTTATATCATATTCACAGACACGTCTATTGCCTTTTCTGTCCTTTGCTAGTCCATTGTTAACTGACTTTGCATGCTTTTCTGTGTCTCTGCATAAAGAAAAACAGAATAAATATATCAACACTGCTAAAAATATATGTATTTAACAAAGCAATGCAGCTCAGAGGCTTCAGATTCTGTGGCAGACAATGAAGTATCTAACTGAACAGATAATTAAAGACATACTTTTAAATCGCTTAAGTGAATCCGTACATGAGTAGATTTCTTCTTTAAAGTTGCATACATAGCTTGACTGAAGTTGATACATAAAAGTACCAGTATTTACCCTATTGTCCTCAGCAGCATCTATGGCCATTCCTGCAGGGTTTCAGCCTATTTCAATACTGGGTGAGAACATGTACCTGTGTGCAAGCAGGCCACAGACACACGTGAAGAGTTTGTGTCTTTCATTGTTTTTGCAGATATTGATACTGCAGTTATGAGTTTGGCAGTAATAAGCAATGTAAATCAATTTTTGATTGCATTTGGTGTGGAACTCTTTGTTTTTTATTTTTGTTTTACAACCTCAGAGGATGTTTGAAGTGGAAGATGTGAACTGTATCTGTGTAGACTGGAAAAAAGGCTCAAGATGTGCATACACCCAGGCAGCAAACAACGTCCGTGTTGTAGGCGCTGAAATAGCCTATTTTGTAGATGTGCTTGTGGTAAGAACTTTCTGGCTGCAAAGTTATATTAATAATGTTGATTTTTAAAATATATGTTTCAACAATATTTAAGTATGCAATGCCCATGTAACCAGAAAAAAAAATCACTACTCAGTGATTATTTTAGAACTTCAGCTGAAAACCGTAACTTGTTTTTTTTTTTTCCTCCAAGTTACAAAACTACAATAGCAGAGTTAGGTAACTCAGATGCGAGTTCCTACCAGTTCCCCCCATAGTACTACTCGGATCGCTACTCTGTATTTGTTAGCAGATGTAAAGAATTTTGTATGCAGAAACAACCACCAGAGCAGACTGCCTTCTCATGGCAACAGCTGCGTAAAGGGCCCTGAGAGACTGAGAGATATAGGCACCTGAACCAGCAAATAAATGCTGAGGGTTTGTAGACTGGGCCCTGAGTCTGTAGTCAAACTCAGAGTAGCTTCTTGGCCCTTCTTTACTCTTCCCTATTGGTGATGAAAATGGAAATGTAATTTTTTTTTTTACGTTACTATCTTCCTTAGGACAAATTCGGATACTCTCTAGACAATGTCCACATAATTGGGCACAGCCTCGGAGCCCATGTGGCAGGTGAAGCTGGGAAAAGGAGGTCGGGGATTGGAAGAATCACTGGTAAGAAAGCTCTTGTCTTCCTTAAATTTTTAAGTTACAATTAGAAAAAGCAAATGGCAAACGAATATGCCTATTTATTATGATATATATGCATTTCTAAAAGAGGTATTCCTGATGCCTCACAAAGCACAGACTGCATTTTGAGTATTTTAAAACACATTCAATACTGTCCCAGAAAACAAAACTGAAAAGAGGTGCCATCACATAAACTTGTGATGAAACCACTTCTCAAAATACAGGTAGTTCTTCCTGCAGTGTGCACTACTGAGCAATTTTTAGCATGTTCAGCGCTTACAAAATGTAAAGCTACTTGTTGGATCCCCTTATTCATCACACAGGCAGTGCCAAGGGTAGTGTGTATTAAACAGAGTGACTTTTCATACACAAAGACAATTTCAGATGTCATTAGCACAGCCCTTTTCACTTACTTACTACGTTTTCTCAATCGGAGCTTGCTGAGCCTCGGAATAAAATTTGTACACTAATAGTCTACCAAATTCAGTGTAAAAGCAAAACCAAATCTACTCCCAAAATAAAATAAGAGATGCAAGTATAAGATAATACATGTTTTGTAATTTGCAAGACTTCATACAAGCTCCTGAAATTGCTGCAGCAATTTGGGGAGCAAATGAATACCATTTCATGCTAGGACCAGAAGCAAAGATTTCAAAACTAGACACTGAAAAACTAAGTTCCAAAATCTGCACCACAAATAGACATACTGGTTTTCAATAGCTCAAGAACTTGGCAGAACTGGAGTTACTCAAGGTGTTCTAGACACCACGTAGGTGAGCTATACAGGATGCTGACGCAGTAACCTCCATTTGGGCAAAATTTTCTTTCTAGCTAAACTTCCCTCAAAATAATAGCTGATATTCAAGTGCTGGAACTCAATACTGATGTAAATCAGTAAAATTCGGTTGGTTCCATATGCATTAGCATTTCCCCTGCCCACGATTCCACTCTAAGTTCTAGCATGCCATCTCTCTTTTAATCCTTACATTCTTTAGGTATAAGGAGCTAATGTGACATTAACTATATACAATCATACAGTTATATAGCATGACTCATCTGTATCTCTATCTGTACGTAACACAAATATTTTTCATTCAGGACTGGACCCCGCTCAGCCGTATTTCCAAGACACTCCCATTGAGGTCAGGCTGGATCAGTCTGATGCAAAATTTGTTGATGTTATTCACACCGACACAGCTCCCACCATCCCCTACCTGGGTGAGTGCTCACTCTGCACTGTTGCTTACGTCTTTATGCTCTGCAGCATCTGAGTGCTCCAATCACCCATCCTAGTTGTGTGACGTACTGTGCAAACACAGCAAAAGTACCATTCTGGGCACTAAGAGCTCATGTTTTAAAGTAATACAGACAAACTTCATGCGAAGAGCTGTTTGTATGAGACAATATTCATTTAATATGTGTTTACCCCTGCTTTGAATACTTCAGGTTTTGGAATGAGCACAGCTATAGGACATCTTGATTTCTATCCAAATGGAGGACGGGAAATGCCAGGATGTAGCAAGAATGTTATTTCTACGATTGTAGACCTTGATGGCATCTGGGAAGGTACGTGTATTATTTCAGAAGAAGGTCACTCTCAAAATACAATGACTTAACTATTCTTGTTTCGAGTGTTTCATATTAGCTGTTACTGGATCTGTCAATGACATCCACTGGGTGCAGGGAAATTTTTAATATGTTCAGACATATCATGTTCCAGAACCTATTCCCAAAGAGGGATCCAAAAGTGAGCATTACAAGGGGTTTGCGTCTAGAAAATACATCTGCTCTGAAGTAGCTAACAGTAGAAAGAAACACTACTAAAACTGTGCCAAATTTGGGAACGATCTGTAACAACACATTTGTTATTATTTAGTTACCTAGCAGCAACAGTGGGTGGAGCAGGTCAGTGATACTCACATCTACTTAGATTAGGCAACTTCAGCTGCAATTTTTATTGTTATCGATACGGGAATTAAAGCACAAAGAAATACTTGTGTCATATATCACATATATATAGTCTTTTGACTCTAAAGTTAGGAAAATTAAGGAACTCTATAGAAATAACTTGCTCATTATTTAAATTTGGAGATTCTCTCTTTCTTAAACATCCTCCAAATAATAGTAATAATTTTGTTTTTAAGTTGTCAGCTGGAATAAAACAGCATTGCCTGAGGAAGTTCATTTTTAAATACCTTTCATTTGGTTTCTTTTTGTATGGTTTGCATGGTAATGCAAGCTGTTGCCTACAAAAGACCTGTTTTCATGCAATCCTCATTTCCTTTGTGAAACTCAGATTCCTTGGGTAAGTGTTTGTGAGGGGACAGAACGGGGATGAGCTGAGCTGCACAGTATTTCTCTACAATGAATTTCAAGTTTGCATTTTATGCCTGTTGAGTCCATGGCAATCCTTGGAGCACCGATTCATTACAAAAACAAAGTTCAAATCTCAAGTTCGGTACTACAAGAATTGCAGCAGGGCTCTTGAGGAAGCAGGATGCACTCAAACGACATGGCAAGTGCTCTGCCAGTATCCTTTAGCATATAATAACAGGGATCAAGCACTAACCTGGGAGCATCTCTTCACAGGAACTCGGGACTTTGCGGCTTGCAATCATTTGAGGAGTTACAAGTATTACTCTGATAGTATCATCTACCCTGATGGATTCCTAGGCTTCGCTTGTGCTTCCTATGACACTTTTGAAACAGTAAGTATTCTTCCAGACCTTCAGGATGAACCACTTCAACAGCAGTGCCTCTTATCTACGCACCTGAAGTTCAACCCCCCGATGCTCGTGGGCACTCAGGGAGTATTTGTGATAGAGGTGAGGGTGTCTTGAAGCACTGCAGCTCAAAGGCCAGCACACACCAGAGGTCTCCTGGTTCTGTGCTTACGTGAAAGCCACAAGGCACTTGGCCAGAGCTTCCCCAGAGTGCTTCCCCAACTGCAAAAACACATAGTGCTTAGCATGAATTTATAGCTTTGGAGCACCTGATGGAGGCTTCTCAGGCCAGTTTGTGCAGAGACGACTACAGCATCTGTCCCCAGAAGGACAAAAGGGTTGCAAGGCAGAGTTCGGAGAATGAAGAGCACCTGTTGACCCAGCCTGAAAGTACAAGGACACATCCTTCTTTCTCACTGAAGAGTTGCTGGTGGGACTCATCTTCCACACTCTAGTTCCCACTTACTCAAGAACGGCACTGGTGGGGTGGAATGAGCTAAATAGCATGAAAAAAAAATCCCTGAAAAATCAAAGTCTTTGAGAAAGTTGGGTAGCTTAGATGAGCTTCTCCTGGTTATAAAAAGGATTATTTGAAATTTGTTGTTGCTATAATTTGGAACCTGTTAGTTAGGCATGCTAAAATCAGTTCTATGACTGATTGTTTTTTTTTCTCAGCTGTGTTGGTAAACTTTATTAATCTGCTTGTTTTCACTAGGAAAGTTGTTTCCCATGTTCAAAAGATGGATGCCCAAATATGGGTCACTATGCAGATAAATACAAAGACAAAGTTACCAGTGAGGTCACAAAACTTTACCTGAACACTGCAGAGACCAAAAACTTCCCTCGTAAGTCTTGAATATTTCCATTGCTACCTGGTCCTTGTAAACACTTCCTCCCAGTCTTCATTTTACAATTTATTTTGACAGACCTTAGAGCAGTGCAATGACAGGTCCTCAAGTTATTTCCTCTTCTGCCCCAATATAAATATTGCATTTGAGGCCCTCCACTACAAAAATAATGTTGACAAACTGGAGAGAATCAAGGGGAGGCCACCAACATTTTAGGAGGCTGGGACACATCAAAGAGATGCTAGAGAAATGAATTTGCCTCATCCGAAGAGGAGAAGGCTGGGGGCTAGCAAACCCCTTCTCTTTTTAAATTCCTGGAATGTTATATTTGCTCTTCATGGTTATAATGCAATGAAGAATAGGGAGCACAAAGATTCACATGCGAGAACATTGTGCTACCTCCATTCAGTTTGGGATGTGGCCTTGAGCTGCAAGGGTAGAATATACTGATAAAAAAATAAGATTTCATGTTTTGGAGGCTATTTTCTGTGGGTACAATTGAGCTTTCTGTATTTCTCCTGTGTAGTCTGGAGGTACAAGATATCTGTGACAATCTCTGGAAACCGCAAAGTAACAGGATATGTAAATATTGCCTTGTATGGAGATGGTGGGAACACAAAGCAGCACCAGATTTTCCAGTAAGTTCAAAATTCAGACTTCTTCTATAGAATATTTTATTTGTTTTTTTTTAATACTTTTGATTTTATTGATCCTATCTTACGGACAAATTTTGACCTCAGGTCCTGATATAAATGCAGAGACAATTTGGTCACTCTGAACTTGCATTTGAAGGGCAAAAGCTGGAATGCAGCCTCTCCTCTTTCCTAACTGAAAAAATCATCACCATCTACACCACATAATTTTGGTGTAGCTTGTTGATGTCTGCCATGGCTGTTGTTGAATTTATGCTAACAGAGCTCTCTCTGTCTGTGCTATTCCTGTAAAATGTTTACATCTAAGCAATAGTTAACTTGTGGTTTACTTCATAAAAATCTGCTTTCTTTGCTCATGATTTTGCTTGCTCAAGCTGAAGTTGCTTGCTTGAGTCGCATGGTTTATTTGCATTTTTCTTCTTTATTTCAACTAAAATAGCTGATATTATGAAAAATGGGGAGGATGCATTCTGATTTTGTTGTTTTGCTGTGCCAGCTCACTCCCTGCGGTGAGGAATTCCTTCCCAGTAAACGTGTTCCCCATTGAAATGTCTCTTGGCTTGGTACAGTAGGGGTAAATTTTAGAAAGCAGCACTTCATCTTCAAGCTCTGGGAATGGGAGGTGAGGGCAAAGGAAGAAGGTTGAAGTACTGCCTTATATTCAGTGAGATTTAGTAGCTGAAGCCATTAGCAGTCACAAATTCTTGCCATTCAGAGCTTGTTGTGCTGCCACTACAAGAATTAAGTAGCTGTTTATGTTAGTAGGCCGGAGTATAGCACTGCGGATCCATGCAGAGATAGCTGGTCACCTCGGCCACACTTTTGCAAGTGCAGGAATACCTGGGAGACACCCCAAACAAATCCAACATCCGGATCATATAAATCAATTAGCACTAAATCGGATTCCACCTGTGAGGAAAACTTGGTGCAAACCCAGCCCACAAAATGAACAGGGATTTGCCCCTCACTGTGAATTAAGATTGCAGCAGAGCCACCTGCCTTTGCTGCTTCCAATAAACAGCAGCAGCAACGTTGTCACCGTACTGTAACTCCAGTTACCAGGATTGCCAATATACTCCTAACTGCTACCAACCACGTGACCATATTGATAACTAATATTAAATTATGCCAGCAGGCCTAACATCTATCACCTTTTCATTTTCATAGAGGATACCTCCAGCCAGATGTTACTTACACAAAATTAGTTGATGCAGAACTTAATGTTGGAACAATCACAAAGGTGAAATTTCTCTGGAACAACAACGTGATAAATCCAACTCTCCCTAAACTAGGAGCTGCAAAAGTCACTGTGCAATTCGGAGAAACTGGAGAGGAGTAAGTATACCCATTATGACAATCTTAAAAGTTACTTGGGAGAAGAGACAAAATTAAACGTGGGGTAAAATCATTTGCTTTAGAAGAGCAAATTTCCTGTATAGGCTTTTGGCAAGAAATAGTAGTACTGACTTGGATTATCAGCACTGTTCTTGCCAATTTCCTACTCCCTGGCTACAAGAAATGCTTATCCTAACTTGCATTAGGATGTCTGACTCACTGTCATTTGAAATCAGTGGAAATTCTGCCCATATTGATGGGCCTTAAGACCGTGTTGGACAAGAAGGGTAATAACAGGCCTATCATTCCAGTGAACAGGCGTAATACTTGGGAGCTGGGCTTGAAAGACTGAATCTAAAGTCTATTGAAACAGGCTAAAAAGGGATTTCTGGGGACTTCGGTGGATAGTGACTTGGGTGCTCAGATTACAGAAACATAGTCATATTTATAGTCATCATTACTGATCCAATTTTGCTCATTCAGTTGAGTTTTCAAACAAATCCTTTCACTTGCTTGACCTTGCTTATTCCCCCCATGATTGTGGATTTAGAGGAGATGTACAGCAAATGTATTATTCATAGTTAAAATGTAATCACATGAAACACAGGATCCAGTTTCAGCCCAGCAGCACTGCCATGGATCAGAGCACCCAAGTTCTGTTGTAGTTCTTATTTACCAAAACATCTTCTGTTTGCTCATGCCCCTGACACTAGCATCCATCCTCTATCTAGTGCTGGTGGCACCCAAATTAGAGAAAAAAGAAACTCCAAAGATAAAGAAAGGAAGCCCATCAGCCAGCATAAACACTTTTACCTGCAGTAATATTTCAAATTTAGGAGCTCAAAGTATTTTGTGCTCTTTTCAGGTAGCAGAGTTGTGTCAAATCACAAATCATGTAGACGTGTCTGTTAAAACAATTACACCTGTGCAGTGTGAACAAATCCAGAACACTCAAGGCATTCGTTTGTTCTTGTTTTCTGCAGATTCTACTTCTGTGGTTCCGAAACAGTGAGGGAAGACGTTCTGCAAACTCTTACTGCCTGCTAACAGCACCCCCCTCCCCCAAATTTGCTATTAATAAAAGCTACTCGTGCATGAAACACTGGTGTCTGCAATCACTGTAGTTGTAAAATTCATAGCTTTACATGCCAAGCAATGAAATGCAGCTTTGGATGGAACCATGCCTGCAAGGAAAAACCTTTCCTGCTCCAGTATGTAACAGTAGAAATATCCAGGGAATTTTAATACACACTGGTGCATGTAACAATAGAAATATCCAGGGAATTTTAATACACAGTGCTCTCGAAGGCTGCACATATGTCGCGATAAAAAACCTGTGAAATACAGGTTTTTTTATACTGGTTTAAGATTAGTGACTGATCCAAAACCTACTGAAAAATTCCTCTTGATTTCAGCCTGCTTCAAAGTAATTATAACAAGGGGAGAAAGGGACAACTAACAGAATCTCTGAGGGGCTTCAAACACCCTGGACATGACCAAAGAGGAAGTACAGACGCTTGTTAGGAGAAAGAGCTTGTAGATTTTTCCGTGAACATTTGTGTAGCACCCCTAGCAGACTGTGCACTGAGCAAAACTGCCGGAGGTTTGAAGAATCAAGTCAGAAGATGAGCAGCAGAACAAGGCAGTAGCTTTTCCTCTCTGCTGTTGCCAACAGCATCAGCTGATGATGGTTCACAAGCTCAGCCCTGTCCCTGAAGGATCCTGGATCCTGGCAGAGCTCCCTCCGCCTGCTGCTGCTCCAGCAGCCCGTTCCTCCCGTGCTCTCAGAGGAACCGTGTCCTCAAACACGGGCATCTAGAGACCTACCACAAGCTGGGCCCCTTTTTCTGAAGGAATTTCTCTTCACCCAGCCTGATGCACTCCGTTTTTTCTGCCTTTCTGGGTGCCCTTTCCTCCCCTGCTCCGTGTCTGGTCATGAGGGAGCACCAACTGCCTTGCAAACCTTTGGATTCCCCTAGGGGCGGTGGAGGTTGAAGCCAGCTCTCCCTGTGTTGCAGCACTGCTCTTTTAACAGCGAGGAAAAAACAGTTTTTCTGCTTTAATTAATTCAGGTCATTATGCTGCTCTCCGGGGCAAGCGGAGAGGGAGGGAACGGCAAAGGACAGAAAAAGAGCAGTCAGCACCAAAGAACAGTGGCGACTTATTTGCATACGCAGAGCAGCAATAAATTCCTCATGTCAAAAACAAACTGCTCCTTGGTTTTATTCGGCTGAGCAGATATCCCCCAGCAATTTAATTTTCACTCAAAGAGATGTGCAGGCTTGTTTTTATGCTTAGAAAAGGATTCTGTGTTACACTTGTGCTCTGGGGCCAGATTAAAAGGCTCCCAGGAGCATGCCACGAAGCAAAGCATGACCCGCAGAACCACTGATTCCTGACCTTCCGAAACCTCGCCCAGGGAGGATAATAGGGAAGAAACACGAGCAAGCAAAGGGGACACCCACCCCCTGCTATGCTGCCTTAGATGTCTGGGTCACTGCAAATGGTAAGCCAATTTTTGAGGCCAAATTCTTTCAAGGGGGAACAGCAGATGTTTTTCAGCCTGATGATACCGGCGTCTTGCTCTCATTAAAGTGCTCTCCTTGTGCTGCTCCGCACGGCAGCTGCGAGTGCTCAGCCAGGAGGTTTGTCTTCCACTTCTTCTTCCCAGCCTGTGCTTTCCACAAGGACTATGGACTATTCCGGCTCCAGTTTTTCCCATCCTCATGTTGATAGAACAAGAGTGTAAATAATTTGGTACTTGGCCTTGAAAGTTCAATTAAGTGGTTGGTTTGTTTTGAGTGAGGCTGCCCTAAGTCCTGTTTTAGGTCACTCCTGCTCAATTTCCCTTGAGCCTCTGCAGCTGCGTGGCCACAGCTCGCGGCAGGGAGAGCATCCGGCATTCCGCGTCTTTCACGTATCATTCCTGTGCTCCATTCCAGGGAGCAAAGCACATTCCCTCCCGGGAGGATAAACAGCTTCTGGGTTTAACAGCACACACACACACACACACACACAGACTGGAGCCTGCATCCAACGCCAGCTCTCCGTGTATCCTGCAGCCCGTTGACGCTGTCATGAGGTTTGGCCTCAACCGTTTGTCTCTCTCTTCCAGGATTTGGCTTCCTGATCTCCGTATCTCCTGCTGAGGTAACTT